GGGGGTGGGGTGGGAAGAGGGGGAGGGGGGCGAGAGTGGGAGAACAGGGGAATCTGTGGCTATTATGTTGAACTAAATGATGTTGTAAAATAAATTTACTAAAAAAAAAAAAGGAATTGAGGATTTTGGATTGCAGATCTAACAGTTGGTGTTAAACTGTGGACTAGATTGCAGGAAGCCACACATGACTAAGGAGTATGTGTGTCATGAGAGGCCACAGAACTGAAACTACAAGCAGTAACAAGATGACAGAGGCATGTTCTGGTGATGTGGGGGAGATTCTGTTATGTTCTTCATTCTCTTGGTTCCATACCAGGGCCCCAAGAGGAACAGGATTGATTGAACAAACAGATATTATGAGAAGATTTCTTAAATTGGCTTACAGGTAGTCCAATAGTGGCTGAATTCACACAGAAGGGACTATGAACCCAGTACCTTCTCAGGTCATGAGTGTAGGTCTCCATTTCCTCATGAGTTGGCTACTGGCCCATGAGGGCAGAAGAAGCAGAAGTGGTGAACAGGGTTTGGACAGCCATGAGCATGACGGAAAGAACTTCCGGGAGTCAACTTCAGAGAGTCAGCTCATTTTATTGTTCCAGGGGTAAGGTATATGAGGGTTCTTAGGGTTAAGGGCAGGAAGGGTTGATTGGTTATGACATAGCACCTAATTATCATTCGGGCAGGAGGAACAAACAGGATTTCTGTGCTAAGTTGTACAGCGGTTGCAGGGAGCTCTGTGCAGGGTCATCCTCCAAACTGGTCAGGCATCTGAGCTTAGAGACACTCTCCAAATAAGAGTAGACAGAGAAGAGGAAACCCTACTGAAAAAAGGAGTCCTTCGTTTTGTTCTGAACTCAGAGAGCTATCCGGACCTGGAAGACTACAACCTTAAATGTAGGGTTTCTCCCAACACAAGATCCTTAGCAGTGCGGAAAGCATAGAGGATTCCTGGAGAGTCACCGGTCTTCAGTTCATGTTGGAAGGCCAGTGTAACTGGGTTCTAATGTCAGTGAAAAGTGGCAGCAGTGGCAACAGCAGCAGCAACAGCAGCAGCAGCAGCAACAGCAGCAGCAGCAGCAGCAACAGCAGCAGCAGCAACAACAACAACAAAATGCCAAGAGGGTGGATGTGGACCAGCACAATGTGAAGGCAACAAGGCAAAACCAAAGCTTTGCTCTCTTGGACTTCTCCTTTTCTGGCCTGCCACTGGAAAGCACCATCCACCTTTAGGATGGGCCTTCAGATTTCAGTTAAACTGATCAAGACAATCCCTCACAGACATGCCCAACTGATAATTTGCTCAGTTGGTTGTAGATCCAGCCAAGTTGACAACTGAGATTAACTGTCAGAGTCTCCAAGATAAGGTTTTTGGCATTTTAATAGAGATGTTTCACAACCAGCAGTCAAGCTTTAGTAGTTAGTGTATTTCCAGTCTTTCAGGAGGCAGATGTTTCTGAAGGGGAAACAGGGTAAGAACGAGGAGACTGATTTGCTGCAACTAGACCTATACATGCGGATGTGTCTCGTGACTCTGTTTCATGAACCAGACCTTGATGGATGGGGCCTGCTCTGAGTGCCCATCCAGGTGATGGGATAAGAAGGCTCTGCCATGGTCCAGGGGCCTTGTGCCTGCAGTGGTGAAGTTGAATTTCTGGTCTGAGTTTCTTCACCAAGAAGGAATCAAGCACGTCGTGTGGGGCACTAGAGTTCTTGTCAGGCAAGAGCAGCTGAAGTTGGAGCATTCACTTCTGCTTAGCATCCACTTCTGAAACTTAGGTCATGTCTCGTGCTACTGAGGACACGTACTTGGTTGTGTGGCCATGCGGGGTGTGAGCAACTAAGGACCTGCATGGTGGAGTGTTTGCTTAGAAATAAATCTCTTCACAAGACATCCTAATTCTTTAGCTTCTCTTTCTCCCTCTCTCTCTCTCTTTTGAAAAATATATAGAGAGAGCTTCTCAGTATGATAAATAGAGCTCAAGAGGTGAACTGTCCCCTACAGTCTTCCCACAGCCTGGGGAAGGAGTTTTGTTTGTGGATGGGCTCTTCCACCTAAAATATATATCCACAGGCTGGTCTTCCTTGAACACTGTAAGGATACTATGAGTAGAGAGGACCAGTTTTGTCAAAGGTCATCTAAGGTCACATACCAGGAGCTCCAGCGAGAGGGCTTCTGGAATATGATTACCCCCGAGAGGGAGCGAATGGTGCACATTCCAGAAGAGGCTAAAACAACTCTCATCTGACAGAACCTTGGCTCATGGGGGTAACTGGCTTAGCCAGGAAGTCATATAGGGTTAGGATTCCCATGGCTCAGGCAGAGTGGGCCTGTATTCTATCACTCTTTAAAAAGTTGATGTGAGGTTCATACAACACGAAGTCAATCATTTTGCAAGCTATATTTGGTGGGATTTAGTGCACTTAGGATATTGTGTAACCACCACCTCTCTGTAGTTATAGGATATTTCCATCAAAGGAAATCTCCTATCAAGCCCTTATTCCTATTCCCCTCCTCACATAATTCCTTCCATAATTCCTGACTGCTGCTAGCATACTTTCTATTGCTTATAGGTTTAAAGATTCCTGATATTTCATGTACAAGGAATCATACCCTGTGTGACCTTTTCACTCGGTAATATAATATTTTCAGGCTGGTATGCTAGTATCTCATTCATTTTTTAAAAAAATCTAATAATATTCCACTATAGATAATTCTATGTTTAGTTTACCCATCTGAATTTAGTTTTGTAAAAAAAAAAAAACAAAAAAAAAACAAAAAAAAAACTCTCAAGAAATGTGTTGTTATATGAGTATCTTCTAGGCAGAATTTAGATATCATAGATCTGCTTGTGTAATATATTAATATTTCTGCAGTTCAGACTTTTTGTTCAGCTATGTTTGGGAAGAAACTGCTTGGTAACGTTTAGCAGGACTGTTTGTCAGTACATATTGCCTGGCACAAGCTCTCTGCCCTTCTGTCAAACCTTATAGAGATTGTCTTCCTCTGTAATCCTGGCATTAAAATATTAACATGAGCATTATAGATAGCCAGATGTGTATGAAATAACTCAGACACAATTAACACATAGTGTATCTGGCAGTTCCCTTTCAAATAATCAAGTGTTCTTTGTTTCTGTTAAGTAGCGCTTACAAGTATGTGGGGACATCATAGCATCACTCACATATCACAAAGCATGAAAATGATATGTTCTATCAGTGTTCAACGTTCAACTCATCTGGCAAGTGTTCACTGTTTTTTTTTTTTTTTTAAACATCAGATGCCAGGCACTGTGCATTCTAGAGCACACATCAAGGTGTAAGATAAGATGGGTGCTTCCAATCAAATTTGGTTCTGAGAGAAAGAAGGAGGAAATGATTTTAGAACAATCTCATAAACACAATAGGAGAGATTTTTCAACCAGGGTGTTAAGACAAAATGAAAGCAGTGCCTACCCACTGTGGCCAAGAAAGCGTAAAAATGCACCCCAGACTTCTCAGTGCTGCAGGGAAAAGGTTTTCTCATTGTCAGACAGATGGTAAGACTGCTCAGATTTATATATTTTAATAATTATAAGGGTTAGTGATAACTTAGCATTCCTCAGAAAAGGATTAAGCATAGACTGAGGTTACTAAGAGGCAAAAGAAACTCGTTTCTCTTGAAAGAGATATTCGGCTTTCTCCTCAGCAACATTCCCCAGGTTATCTTCAGGCTTCACTTCTGTAAAGTCTTCTGGAATGCTCTCCTCAAGGGATGTAATATTGGCCAAGTCATAAATAAGCTTCAATTTTTTGGTATGGAACATCATAGCCCATCTTCGAAAGGTCTGCTTGATGGTTGAAGAGGCTATTCTATAGGCGATTTCTCTAAAAATCTTACGGGTTTTTTCTGCCAACAACTTGACCACAGGATCTTCGTCCCGAGCCACTCGTTCAATAACTGTAACAGTAGAGGGGCCCTTAGTTCAAGGTCTCTCTGACTCCAAGAGCATTAAGTCTAAGCTCCCACCTCTCACCAAGTTGCTCTCCCCGATATTCTCCACCTGCAACTCTTCCCTACCCCTCTCTTTACTTGACTAATGAGATCTACTAGAAAAAAACAAAAATGGTTACCAAATTTATGGCATCCTTATGTGCCAAGCATTCAGCTCAGTATCATAAGAAGAGATTCATGTGTTGGTGATAGTCATGTAAAACACTGGAATAAGTCCAAGTGCTTATCAATAGAAAACTGATTAAAATCAAAGTTATTATAAAATAAAATAGCACATGTATTTTAATATGATGAGTCAATGCATATTCATTATCACAAAAAAAAGCTTATGATCAACAGCCTTGAACTTGTGGCCATTCCTCTGCTTCAACCTTCCAAGCACTGGGACTACAGGGTGAGTCACAGTATTTTCTTTTATTTCTTTGGATTAAAAACACAAGAATGAAAAAGGATGTTTCAGAAAAGGGAATGAGAGAAAGACAAGAAGATAGAAGAGAAAGATCTTAAGGGTTAAGGGGGAAGTATAGTGCTTGACATGCAGTAGCTAGTCAGGAGTGTTGAATGAATGAATGAAAGTGACTGAATGAATGAAGGAGAGATAATGATGCACCAAGTGGGCACAACTCTCCACAACCCTGGTGGGAGACACTGACAAGGGAGGCAACTGCATGAATACAGTGTGGAAGTCCATGGGAAGCCCTTGAACTTCCAGCTGTGTTGTTGTGAACCTGAATTTTCTCTGGACAATAGTAGACTTTATAAAGACAGACAGACAGGAAGGAAGGAAGGAAGGAAGGGAGGAAGGAAGGAAGGAAGGAAGGGAAAGAGGAGCTGACAGCTATCCTAGCTATTCTCTTAAAAAAAAACTTTTAGATTTATTTATTGTATTTTATATCTATGAATTGTTTGCCTGAGTGTATGTATGTACAGCACATGTGTGCTTGGTGCCGGCAGAAGTTAGACTAGGGTGTCGGCTTCCCTGGAAATGGTGTTGTGGATGGCTGTGGGACACCGTGTGGGTGCTGCAAGAACAAGTGCTTCCAACTGCTGAGCCAGCTCTCCAGCCCTGCCCCGAAGCTATTTTCTGATAACACAGTAGAGAGATGCTAAGATGGGGTGATGCCCGGTACCCAAACCTTTTGGAGGAACAACAGCATTACTCTTCTTTAATTCCTCCCCCTCTGAATGTAATGTATTTTAATATTCACTAAAATGTAAAAACTATGAGGAATGAGCCAGCTTTACTTATTAGGGTGACCCAAAAAGTACATGCTGGAAAAAATATTTGCAGGATATGTAAGTGAATGACTCCTGAATTTTCAGTAATTTCTTAAGGCTCTGGCATGATCATTAGATTTCAGACAATAAATGGGATAAATTTGGGGAATGAAACAGGGACAGTAATAGAGAATAGGGAGAGTGAAAAAAAACAAATGCCCCTTAACCTAGTCCCTCTCCTGATTTTCCTATCCATAAACCCACCACCACCCAATTTCCATCCTCTAAACTATATAGAACTCTCATTCAGATAGAATCAAAATAGTGAATTTATTTGAATCTACACACAAAGACCTCAATCTTACCCTCAATCATGACATCAATTTCTTCTTTGAGAAGTAAATGTGCTCCAGATTTCCCCAAGTACCCTGTGTATAAGGTATAAGCAAAGTCAGGCCAAAATAAACTATTAAATACATTTCTGTTGTTATCTAGTTAGATCATAGATTCTCCTTAAACTGTCTTTTAGTGATTTCAAATAGTTATTATTTAATGAAAAATTAAAATATGTATGAAGAATGACCACAAAGTGAACATGCCTTAGCTACCATGTAGGTTCATATCCCAGAAGACTTTTATAAGCTCTTTGCAATTTCCTTCTCCATATTTCAGAATGTATTTTTGGGTTCTACTGTCTTCATTCAACATAGTTTTATGAGATGTGTCCATGTTCCTACAGAAACAGCTCATGTAGTGCCATTTTTACATGCAGAGTGGAGATTCCTTGAAACACAGCCTGACTATCAACTCATTTTGTTACATATCACTTACTGTTTATTGCTCTAGTTGCTGGTGCGACCTGAGAGAATGGAGCCATGGACTAAAGTCTCATGTAATAGTCAACTTGGTTCAAAGTATCACACAAGTTAAGAAGAGTCACACGAGTGAAGAGTCACATGAGACAAGTTAAGAAGAGTCCCGCCGGGCGGTGGTGGCGCACGCCTTTAATCCCAGTACTCAGGAGGCAGAGCCAGGTGGATCTCTGTGAGTTCGAGGCCAGCCTGGGCTACTAAGTGAGTACCAGGAAAGGCGCAAAACTACACAGAGAAACCCTGTCTCGAAAAACCAAAAAAAAAAAAAAAAAAAAAAGAAGATATATACTCATGTGCAATCAATGCACGCCTTTAATCCCAGTACTCAGGAGGCAGAGCCAGGTGGATCTCTGTGAGTTCGAGGCCAGCCTGGGCTACCAAGTGAGTACCAGGAAAGGCGCAAAACTACACAGAGAAACCCTGTCTCGAAAAACCAAGAAAGAAAGAAAGAAAGAAAGAGAGAGAGAGAGAAAGAAAGAAAGAAAAAGAGAGAGAGAGAGAGAGAGAGAGAGAGAGAGAGAGAGAGAGAAAGAAAGAAAGAAAGAAAGAAAGAAAGAAAGAAAGAAAGAAAGAAAG